ATGATATTGGGAGAGATGCCTGGCATGTCCTCGTATGACCAGGCGAAGATCTCAGTGTTCTCTTGCAAAAAAGAGATCAATGCCAACCGAATGGGTGGTGACAAGGTGGTGCCAATCTTCACCATGCGATCCAGATAATCTTTTGAGATAGAGACATTCTTCAACTCTTCAACAGGTTGTGCTTGTTGGGTGAAAGAGTCATCTCGAGGATCATCGGGTTGACTGTTGCCACCGTGAAGATCCAAGTTGGCTTCGTCTGGGCTGGTCTTTATGACTTGGTCATGTATAGAAAGGGTTTCCTTGGGCACATGCAGGTGATGTTGCTTGACCGAAGTGTTGTAACATGATCGTGCACTAAGTTGATCTCCTCTGATGTAACCATTGCCATAGGGGGTTGGAAATTTCATCAACAACATATGTGTGGATACCATGGCTTTGAGATCATTGATGCATGTGCGTCCCAAGATGACATTGTATGTTGTTGGGCAATCAACCACCAGGAAGTTAGTGGTAATGGTAGCTGTGTAAGGGCCTGTACCAATGGTGAAAGGTAAGTGTATGCTCCCCAAAGGTTGCACGATATCACCGGAGAAGCTTATCAGAAGGGAAATCGAGCGATCGAGCAAGTGTTCAGCTACATTAAGTACCCTGAAAGCTTCGGCAAACATGATATTGATCGAAGCCCCCGTGTCTACCAGGATTTGTCGTACTTCAAAGTTGGCTATGTGAGCTTCCACGATCTATGGGTTGTTGTGAGGGTAGATGATACCTCTTTCTTTCTCAGGGTAGAAACATATTGGATCCCAGTTAGGCTTTTGATGCTTGCCTTCTTTGATGTCTTCCACGTGAAACACTAGGTGGCCAGACCTTAAAGCTCGTTCACTATTTTTCATGGCCCTGTTGCAAGATTTAGATATGGTTGTGCTACCACTTATGGAATATATAACATTCACATGGTGTTGGTTACGGTTACCCCTTGGAGGGTGAATGAGGAATTGATCAATTTTTCCTTCACGTGCCAAAGCTTCAATATGATCACGAAAGGTGATACACTTCTCGCCGTCATGACCGTTATACTCGTGGTAGCAGCAAAATGTGCTCGTGTTCTTCGTGGACTTGTAATCCGGGTGCCTCAGCTTTGGCTTCGGTATCAGGTGTGCTATGCTGGGGTAAATGGCCACACATGTGGCGTTCAAAGGTGTGTATGCCTCATACCTCGGGGTAGGGGCTGTCCTGACACGTGCTTGACCCACTGTGTTGACTGCCTGGGGTCGGGGATTATCGTGGTGATACCCTTGGTTATCACGGTAGTGTGCCTTACTCCTTTTACTAAAATGAGATTGGTGAGGATGGAAATCTTTCCTTTTACCCTGAGATTGATATGTCTGTTGACTTGGCAAAGTATTAAGTAAGGCAGGGGGAGGCACCGCTGCCGTTTGGAAGGTCGAGGTCTTCTCATTTGGTTGGATCTGGTTTCCACTCCCTACTTGCTGATAAGAGGTGGCTGTGGGGGGTTTCCCTTGATATGTCCTTGCCTCGACGAAGGCATGGTTGTAAGCCTGTGCCATCATCTTAGAGTAAGTCTTCCAAGTGTTGGCATTGATCATGTACTTGAAGAAACAATCACGTAGGCCTGCCGTGAAGGCCTTGAGGGCGGTTTTGTCATCTGCCTCAGCGCAGTGAGAATACTCATGGCTGAAGCGACCGGCATACTCTCGTAGTGACTTGTTCGGCTTCTAGCGAATAATGTACAAGTCATTTGCAGAATGCAAGCGATCGGTCTGGAAAATGTGTTGAGAAACAAACAGTTTCCTTAATTCCTCAAATGAGTCTACCGTCTCAGGTGGAAGACTGCAATACTAGTTTAGAGCTCCGCCAGAAAGGGTAGAGGGGAAGAGAAGACATCGCTCTTCGTCGATATGCATCCGGTATGCCATGGTGGACTCGAAGAGGTTAAGGTGTTCAATCGGGTCCTCCTTTCCAATATAGAGTCGCAAGCTAAGCTTCTGCTTTGTCTTTGCTTGGAGGGGGTGTCGAGGATCCTCCTTGTAAGAGGGCCAGGCCTAGGTTGGTTCCAATCAGGTATCTCAGCTTGTCGTTTGGCCTTCAACTTGTTTACTTCCTTAAGAAGCTGTAGGACAAGAGGGTCCTGAGTGGAGTCATGTACCACTAGAGCTTTCTTTCGTAAATCTCCATCTCCTCTTGGAAGTAGGAAGGTTTGATCAGGAGCATGTGATTTTTCCCTGGACTCGCCGTACTGACTTTCAAGGTATGTCTATCAAAACATCTCTGAGTCCCCTATACCTTCATGTTTCTCTAGGACTTGTTGCCCCTTCCCCAAATTGGTAGCTGGCCTGGGACATGAGAGGGGACCGAGTCTTTCAGAAACCCTTGGGTCATTGATCTTCGAGCTTATGTGGATGGGATTCTCTTGACGTTGCTTTAGGAAGTCTCAGCAGTCACAATAAACGGCTTTCGATCCTTCCAACCTTTCTGCAAGGAGATGTCTTCCTCCACTTCTCTTGCTTCGTGTCGAAGCAGCTGGGTTGAGAGAAGTCTCATGTTGATCAATGTTTTGATGATTAACTCGCTACTCATCGGGGATACCCATGTCGAAGGAAGGTGACCCTCCTTGTTGGGAGGCATCCAGATGATGGTTGATGTCCACAGGGGTAACGAGTTCGCGTGTTTGAGTACGCCTAGTTTCGTGGAGCATCTTAAAAAGCTTCTCATACTGCTCATGGAGGACCTCATTCTTCATTGCTATCTTGTTGTTTTGAGATTCTAGCTCATCGACTTTAGCTTGAAGAGCAACCTTCTTTCCTTCCTTCTTTCGTTGCTTTGCACTAGGTGCAAGAGGGGTGTCATTCTGTGTGCTGTGGCTTCCTTCGCTCCCCATGTTGGAGAGGGATGCCTGGTCAAAAGAGAGTGTATGAATGGTGGAAACCAGCTTAACAAAGCTGAAGAGAGTGAGAATAAGTGTCATTCCCACATACAGCGCCAAATGTTGATGCACAAAATCAGTGAGGACTCTGGTACAACAGAAAATGTTAAGTTTGTGACCTTCGCTAGATTGCTCAGGTCACTAGTGTGGATAAATATGTAAATGGATAGGGACAGGGAAGCAAACACAAGATGTACGTGGTTTACCCAGATTGGCTACGTACACGAAGTAGAGGAGTTCTCATTAATTGTGAAGGGTTTACACAAGTATATAGGTTCAAGCTCTCTTTTTGTGAATACTAGTGAATGATTTAGTACAAATGACATTAGGAAATATTGTGAGAGAATGATCTCTATTTATAGAAGAGAGTTTCTAGTTTCATTCTGACATTGACACGTGTCGTGTTGTGATTGGCTTCTGATGTTGACACGTGTTGCGCTATGATTGGCTTCTGATGTCGACACGTGTCGCGCTGTGATTGGCCTCCTAGTTGGAGGGAAACTCTTCTGGGTCCTTAACGGTATAACGTTGATCGGTGCTCATTAGTTCCGGGATTAGTCAAGTATGGCACAAACAGAGTCATTTACTATTCATTTGAGTGGATTAAATGGGCTACCAGCCAACGCATTTTTTAGGGGTGGAATTGCTCTTAGTATCCAATTTCTTTTTGTTTCTTTTCTTTATAAAGGAAAAAGAAAAGGAAAATATATACAAGATTTTTAATTTTCAAATGTTACATGCAATCTCTTGTATCTGTGGGATTTGCAGTTGCCCGTCACTACAACAAAACTTACCTTCCATTGCACTTATTCATAGCGTTTTCACTGAAAATGTTATTAAATAGCTCTTTACATCATTTAATAGCATATTAGGAAGTTTATTATAGCACATAATGCTATTAACAAGGAAAAAAGCACGGGGAAACATATTTTATAATTTTCTTATAAAAAGAAAAAAATTATTTAAAAATTAAAAAAAAATTATGTTCACACACCTTAAATTACTTCTCCCACATTTTTTTTTTACAATATTATTTCAATATTTTCTACACATCACACACACCTCAATTTCTATCTGTCTACTGTTTTGGGTTTTTTATTTTTATTTTTTTTTCAGTTTAAGTTGTAATTTAACTACTGTGTTTTATTTGACAGAGTTTCTTGTTTATTCTATAAGGGTTTAAGCTGCGATTTTCATACTAGAAAGGTGGGAAATAGTATATTCCTTTTAATATATATTGACCGGATCACTTGTTGTTAGGTGCAAATAGTCGTTTCCAAATTGCCTATTGGTGGTCCACACCAATTTTAGAGAGAGTTTTCAACTGAAAGCTTGTTGACAATGTAAGAAAAGCAGCTAAACTGTCATAATTTGATTTGTTTTTAGGGCTTTTTGAAGAAGTTCTTTGTTTCCGCTTCTTTTGATATCCTTTGTTTTTAATGAGCATCGTGTCATCCTACTCATAATGTTTTAGATTTGTATTCATGTTTTGGTTTGCTACAGGTGGATGCCATACGATGAAGGATAACAATTAACAAGTGGTACATCTTGTTACTTTCAATCACTTATATCTGAATGAACTGTCATTTGAAGTTAATATTCCTTAGCCAATTCTCAATTAAGTTACATTTAGCGTAAAAATCTTTAAATGCTAGAAAGTCGGTTCAATTAGAGGTACATCTTGTTACATTCTGTCGTCGTCCATTATTAATGAAGTTCATTTCATGTCATGTTTTGTTATCAGCAATTAATATTTTTACAGCTTTCAAGTTATGAAGTTGTGAAGTTCTCTTGACATGATTAAGTACAAATGTTTCCATTATTGGTCTGCTCAACCTGCAATTTGACTTTGATTTACCTATTACTAAATGAGGTGTTTTCTAATTCTCTTTGACATCCTAGCTTGTATACATGGTGGTTTTTTGTTTGAATTATTAATTGCTGTCAAATTTACTGTTTTGTGCTTTTATGATCATGCAATTGATGTCCTTAGTTTTGGTTTTTTGTTTTCTACCACTGTGCTCCGATTTGGGTTGAGTTTCATAACCTTCAAAAGTTTCAAGTGATCTTCAACCTTGCAGTCAACAACTGGAAAAATCAACATTCTTGAAATGCTTCACTATTCTACAAGGATCAATGTCATAAACATATTCAACGACGTCACTGGGGGACCATTTTCCACAATTTGGGTTTTGCCAGTCTTCCCCATATGATCATCGTCGTCGCTGTTACTGCACACGATCAGTCGCCTCCACTTTACTTTGCAGCCACCGCCAGCGAAACCGTCAGCGGTGTCACACCTTGAGATGTGATTTGCAACATTAATCTTGCTCGCTTTCCAGCTGCTAAAGCTGATATAAATTCCATGCATTTTGGTTCTGTAATACCACTACTAGAGTTTCCATCCATTAAGTCTTGATCATTGTGATGCTTACAGTACTGCATTAAGTGAAATAACATGTTGCGACCTAGAAACTCCACTTGAACATGAGATCAGTTTCAGACATGAACTTCTCCAATTTATAAGAGTGATCACAGAGCCTCACCTGAGAATCCATCGTTATGACCATCATTCTATTACACTTCAAAACATGGAAACAGAGATTCATAAACCACAACCAAAATGCAGTATTGATTATAAGTTCACACACATTCAGACTGCAAATATGACTCATAACATAAACTGATATTAAACAGTCAATCACATAATATGCTCCCACTTTTCATAAAGACCAAAACAGAAATCAATCTTATAGGAAGGCAACATAACATTGACTTAAAACGATTTACTAATCATAAGCTTAAAACAGCCAAACTGTTTCCAAAGCATCAAACACAATTTCCTCTACAATAAGTCCACCATCCAAAACTACAAAACTTTTCTGAATATATGGAAAAATACAGCCTTGATTATAAGCTCTAATCAGAAATATCAGCATGCTAATTATGTTCATTCAATTAAGACCTTCATGTTTTGTTATTGAAATTTTGACAAAATCAAACAAAACCCAGATTTTAAATCGTGCACTAAGACAGATATGCATACATATATTTCGCAAGGTATAAAGCAATTGCAGTCTCATTCATGATTGATCATTCACGGTCTCCAGATTACTTTCGATAATTTCAATAGGATTAGTTCTTCGTGAGTTTCGTTATCGTAATTTTAATTTTTATTAAAAAACTTAACAGAACAATACGAATTATTAAACATACCTCCTGCAGATTTCAATTTGGAACAGCGCAGCGGAGATAATTATCCAAATTGAAAAAATTGATTTAAGAGTTGAGAGAATCACAAAACCCAGAACATGTTTTGATCGATGAAGTTGCTAATCAAAACCCCAAATTGGGAAAACAGCCTCAACCAATAGTTTTGCAGAAAAACCAATGGTAATAGTTTAAATATGTTTTGTCATTATCTGAAGATCACATACCAGAACCCGACTTCGAATCCTCAGGGTCGCAACTTAAGGAATTTTATTATTATTATTATTATTATTATTATTATTATTATTATTATTATTATTATTATTATTATTATTATTATTATGCTTTCGAACCATTTGATTTCAAGACTAAATTCATAAACATGTAAACCAGACTCTGATACCACATGTAAGATTAACAGGAATATATATATATATATACCTAAATTACTAATCACAAGTTTGCCAATTGAATCACCATAAATCAAGAACAAACTAATTATTACCATTAAACGTGTTTATGGAAAACTGATGTATTTGCAGAAACACTAACCTGCGGAACCCGATATGGAAGACGAAGCCATCGCAGCTGGTTGATCTAATAACCTTCTCCTCTTTAGCAAACACAAGTGCTTTCCAAACAATAGGTATTTGGTACAAAAGAAGCAGACATTGCAAGAGCAGTGATTATGATCATATACATATATATGGTCGTTCTAATCATTCCCCTATTAGAATTCTTATAGAACTCGAACAAGTAATCCATATTACAAGTGACCCTTAAAAGATAAAGTACAGAGATAAGTCCCTCAACAACAAGGACTTGTACTTATAATCCTACAAGAAAAAGGATTTCACTAGGCTTATCAACAGGACTATTCCATTCAAAAGATTTATACTACTCGGCTCTTTCAATTCATACTCATACTCTTACATTGCACCCTAAACTACTAAAACAATTTAGGAAAACGAACAACTTTATTAAAAAATTGGATACGAGTGCTGTGGTCGATTTAAGAGAGGTATGTTGTCGAGCTACTAGTAAATTGCACGTAACCCTAAAAGTATGTGCATGACATCTCTTTTGGGACTCGCTATGAATATATATGTTGTTGGGATTATTTACGCCCAACAGGTACAATTTACTAAGGAGAAAATATTTTGCATAAATGAAGTCGTGTTAGAAAATTACCAGCTGAAGAGTGTGCAAGTAAGCTTCCATGGCAGCTTGAGGACACCATTCCATGGCAGCTTGAGAACAATCGAATTGTTGCTGATAGAATCTCGAGGGGGTATTGTCAACGTACAACTTCAATTTTGTTCGAGGAGAGATTGATTTGATGAATGATTTGGAACTAAAATAGTTGATGGAGGCATATTTATAGATACGTGGGCAGTTGGAAAAATTGCTTCTCGACTTATAATTGGATTGTTTTATGTCAAAGGTGGTGGTGAGCTTTGACAATATCCCATCGTGCGATGACAAGTGTCACCGTGCAGAATCTGAAATGCATGCATTAGGTGAAGTCGTGGCTGACTCTGGGGGATTTGATCATGTTACTAACTGGTGGGAAAAGGAAACAAATCCAAAGGAACGAAGAAGTTGCTTGTTTCTCAGACATATTGAACGTGGGAGGTAGGAGATACTTGACACCTGGTGCTGCCAAACATGCCCTCTGCAGGACATGTGTAGCTTATTATCAAATATAAGATACGTGGCTACACTACAGGAATTTATCCACATTTCGTCTAATGGTCCCAATCAAACCTTGGAGAGATCTTTTAATGTTCCCCTAACATGGGAACGATAGGCCTATAATTATATAAGTGGAGATAAATTTTTTATTTAAGTGTTTTTCTATTTGAATAATGACATATGACGTATGTATTGATATTTTGAACATGTTGATGCACAAAATCAGAAGTTTTGGAACAACGTAAATCCGACTGTGAATCTGCAAGAAATGTAAATAACACAAGATGTATCGTGATTCACCCAAGGTTTAGGCTACGTCTACACTGATTATGTATTTATCTGAGGGAGAGAGAGCTCTGAGAGTGAGAGATTTGAGAGGGGGTGAGAGGGCCTAGGAATTGGCCTCCTTTAATTATGAGGGTGAGAGGTCATTTTATAGAATAAGAGCTCCTCACTTACTACATATTTGCTCATTTATTTATCACATAATTACATTTAAGTCATTCGAGTATTTGTACGATATCTAAATACGAGACTTTAAATATGGTATAAACAGAACATATTAAAAAATAATCTAAACCTTGGAAGAGAAGGGATTGACCCTGTTTATCATAAATACATACAGCTCACCCTTTGTATTTATGTGACAAAATCATTTACTTGATTTTTATGAACAGGACCGTCTAGTTTGTGCAACTTACGGTACGTGGTATTTTTGTTGTTGGAATTGTCTTGTTTTATTTATAGGGTAGGAATTAGGATTCTTTTCCCTCCTACTACTATATATCATTTGATCTTCTCCTCTCATATTTTTTTTTTTGTCTTTTTTCCTATATAAAAAATTCAAAACAAAATGTAAACGTAGTGTAATCGTAATCATTTAAATTGAAAGAAATCGAAGGAAAAAAATATTGAAAGGAAAGAAATATCACTCCGTTATTTATATGATTAGCTGTAAAGTATATACCCCTGATTTGATGTAATTTTCTTTTTCATATCAATGTAACTTTCTTTCTGCAATCAAGGTTTCTTACATACATTTAAGAAATAGAAAAGTCTTCAGCAAAAGAAAACTAAAAAGTGATTGTAGATATTTTGATGACAAAATTTAAACCATCTATTCAATAGAGATATTGTCGCACTATCAATATGAGAATTGTTATTAGTACTTCTAAAATCTCATTAGAGCAAGTTCACCCCTAAGGACTTTGTGCCAGCATCCAGCGTATTTATCCACTCAAGTGAACAGTAATAGACCTCAGTGAACAGTAATAGGCCAAAGCATCTCTACCCCTAACAAAAAATAGCCTAGTCCATTTTATTAAAATATTAGTATTTTTATTATAAAATAATAATTTTATTTTTAATTTCTGAATTTATAAAAAATAATAATAATAATATCTAAATTTGTTAAAAAATTTATGTATTTTTTAAAAGTGAAATTCTTAATTTATTGGGGTAAAAAACGTGGACCGTTGATTTGTGATCGGACAGTCCGATTTAAAAGTAAAATTTAAATTTTTTTTATCGTTGGAAATCCAACGGTCTAGAAAAACTAGCCGTTGGAAATCCAACGGCTATGAGCATGCCACGTCACTAATGGGGCTCCGGAGCACAAGTGGGCTGACAGCCCTATGCAACCTTGTCTCTTACTCGCGGCCACGCGTGAGTATCGTGCACGCGTCAGCCAAATAGGCCGGCTCTTGGGTCTGTCAAAAATGGGCTGGTTTGTTGCCTGGCTTGGGTTGGGTGCCAGGCAACTTTATGGGCTGGAGTGAATGGACAGACCCTCAGTGTGTTTTTTTTACTGGGTGTTGGACAAACAAAGCTCTGGTGGAACTGCTCTTATACGCTCTTCATAACAAGTGTATGTGTCTTTTTCTAATTATAGAGAGTTAAAGTACAAAATAAGATTTTTTAAATGCCACCAACACTTCTCTATCAGCAAATCCCAACATTATCAAACAAATGGTTCAAATATGACCTACATAATACAATCTCCTAGTATTTTCCAAATCTAAAATAATATACAATTGAAAAGTTAATACTCAAATATAGAATTCACCACACGACTTGCACTTGAGTTCGGAATTCGTCCCTGAATTAAACTTTCGTTCATTTACACCCTGAATTTAACAAAATGTGTACCTGTTGACCCTAAAAACTACCAAGCTTACGTGGCGCGTAGGCCAAGTAATTTATGAGCTAACTACGTCATTCGGTTGTATGCAGGCGTGCCAACTCGTCGACCGAGCTCGATCGATGAGTAAAATTTGTTGATGTTGCATTGGGTGCGCTGCTAACTTCTAAATCTCGCGACTGTGGCCGAGGAAGGAACACTCTCGACCTTCAGGTTCTAGAGCCTGAAGACAAGGTTGCTAGTTCTCCGAAGTTCAATATCAAATTCATATTTCAATGTGCCGAATGTAGTAACTTGTAACATCTCACTTCGCCGAAAAGGCTAATGAGATGACCTCTGCCAATAAGGATTCGAAAATCCTTTTAGACCAAGATTTGGATAGATAATCAGTCGGCCTTATCGCAGTGCTGTTTATCCAAACTGAAGGTGCTTCACAGTCGGCTGATTCTACGGCAACAATGTTGTTTATCCAAACTGAAGATGTTTGCCGATTGCCTTCACAGTGCTATTTATCCAAACTGAAGATGTGTTGGTGAAAAAGAAAATAAAAAATCTCAAGGTTGTTGAGAGGATTTGCGCAGGGCAGTTGTGTGTTGAATTGGAGGTCCCTTCCACGCTACCGATGCTCTTGTATTTATAGTAGTGTAGTCTGTTTGATGGCTTTGTAAAACTATTCGCCATGTAAATTGCCAATAGTATTCCTAAGAATATCTTCAAATATCCCCACAGATTACTATTCAAACTCGGCTAAAATCAAGCTAGTTGGGCTTAATTTGTGGCCACGTGCATGCAATCCAATATGTACTTTCAATTTCCGCTCTTTGCATGCAATCCTATCTTCAAATTAGTCTTTTGATTTGATAATGTCTGACAACATCCATCATTATCAAAAAGGCCTAGCCTCCCTAAAGACCTAGCCTCCTTAGGCTTCTTAAATGTTATCATTATCCAAGATCTTTATCTCACATTACCCTATGCTTTCAGACCAGGTGCATGCAACGAACTTGATATCAAACTTGGAAGAATCCAAGCTGCTCTAAATCTGATGCACTGCTAACAAACTCCAAATTAATTCGGACTGTTCCGCTTGCTTGGAGATATAATTTGCATCTATCTATCCTGCTTAAAAATATGTCAAGATAACTCATTAAAAGATAATTTTTATGGTAAAAACCATAATATTAACCTTCTAAAAATAAAATTATCCTCATTTTTCCATCCAACGGTTGGGAACTATGCCCATACTCAACGGCCTTGATTACACGGGCCAATGATGTAAATTTGGGTCCAAACATTGCTCCCAAATTTCCTTGAGCTTCGGCTCATAAGCCGAATGGTTAAGGAAATAAATTGTTCGTAACCAACAAAATCCCATCGTACCGCCAAAAAAGAAACTTTGTTCATCAACAAAAAACATGTATGTTTTGCCAACGTTGCGGCCTTCCTTGACTGCCACAACTCCATACCAGGCTCGGCAACTTTGCCAGAAAAATCTTTGACCATCCCACTCATGCAGTCGAATTGCAAATGAAGCCAAGAAAAATTGGGCCAAGAAGAACCCAACTCTTGGTAGCTCGGCCTGTCACCCATCATGATTGTTGTAATCACCTTTTCTAAAACCATCACGCGTAGACAACTCGGCCAAGTATGGCCTATCATTCAGCCACTCACCCCCAATATTATTAAATTACCGCAGTGGCATCTTTGATGTGACACAGCTAATTATATATGTTAAACCCGGATTTGGATCCTCTCCTGAGCTAATGGAGAGGATCCTCCTGACCACTAATCATGGGCCGTTGGATTTTTATCCAACGGCTATAATTATTATAACTTTAAAGGGACCCCTTGTTTGTAGCCGTTGGATAAAAATCCAATGGCCCATGATTAGTGGTCAGGAGGATCCTCTCCATTAGCTCAGGAGAGGATCCAAGTCCGTTAAACCCAACAGACCGACTGGTTATATATATATATATATAAAGCGACGTTTGACCGAAGTTAAACTTCCACCGAATGAATGCCACCGAAGGTGATTACCATGTAATCTCAAGCTGTTGGACAAAATATATCCCACCAAAGACCATTCGGTTGAAAACCCATTTGATTGTCAACCTCATCCCAAAAACTATTGCCGGGGAGCAATGTGAACATGATTTGAACATGCATTCTAACCTTTATGAAGCTCCGCTTCAAATTCCACCGAGTATGCAAATAATTTAGGCCTCGCTCTACTCGGCAAATACTTGTCCGCCGAGCTCAGTGAGCAAATACCAACAATATCTCGACTACGAAACAAAATCCATTTCACTTCATTCGGTGAGTCTTCAACTGCCGAGCTCGATCAACGGTCAAACTCAAGGACGAGGCCTATCCTTTCTGACTAATTTTTGGGAAAACTCCATTTTCAAGCAGGCTCTCAGTGGCACGGACTCCAAAGCTACTATCAAATCCGTGGTCTTTATTCGGCCAATCTTTCTTGTGGAAAAACTAAACTTCCATGGCCGAAATGTTGGTAAGGAAGAAT